TTTATTGCTCGTTTAGTCCCACACCAGGTCCTTCACAGATGTGTAGTAATAGCTTGTGCACATGTTGCCATAACTGGACCCCAAATTACACACACACACACACACACACACACACACACACACACACACACACACACACACATCCCTATACATTACAGTCTTTCTCACTCAGTTCTCACTTTTACTCCTTCGTCAGCAGAAAGGCTACAAAGGAATTTCCTGTTGAAGCCCACCACCCACCCAAGCTTGTCTTTCTGTGTCTGTGTGTGTTTACACGGGCCACTAGCAATTGCCAATATCATGCATGGATCATTTGGGCAAACAAAGACGGAGGGAAGAGATATACATCCCTCTGGAGGAGCATTCCTCATAATCCATTGTTGACAGACCACTTCCTGTATCCCGTTCTCACCTACCATGCCGTCCCACAACCATAATGTCCCAAACTACATCTCTCACACACAAAAGACACAGACAAACCACAAAGTGTCAGGATGAGATCATTGTCTTGGGAGCGTGTATTATTCTCGATACCCTAAAGGGAGAAACCCTGTAACCCCCCCTGCCTTTCAATAAGCACAAAAGACTCGCTCTGAGGAAAGAGGCAGACACCATTGGAATGTGTTGCCAGGGTTTCTATAACTACTGGCCTCTGAATTCACTCATTTCATCAGCGCACTTGTCTCTGTTATGACCCCGCACCTTTTTCATCCATTCAAAATACGCTCCATATATTCGGTTCCTCCATCCTATCAAATACAATTACACTTTTCGCCGAGCAGGAAGTTAAAACAAACATATTTGTGTTTAATGCATGCGCAAAGTGCTGATCTACCACTGACAAAATAAAATGTTTCAAGGACACTTAAGACGTCACTTTTTTCCATGACAAAGATTTGTCTTTTCCCAATGTCTTGTGGTGGGAACTTGCCACTTTGTTTGGATGAAGCAGTGTCTGGGAGGAATGCGGGGCTTGGATGAGGAGGGGGATGCATTGGGGGAAGTATGATAACGCCCACCCCATTCAGATTTATGTTCAAAATGAGGGGCTCCTCTGGGTGCACGTAAGGGGACGAACAGACTACTCCGCGCAAGCCAAAGCAAATGTTTAGTCACTCAACCTTTCCCCATTCTTTACTTCTGCTTTTCTCCTCTGCGCCATCTTCTGGGAAAGTGATCTGGAGTTCCCTCGTGGCTGTCTTTACACAGCTCAACATGTTTTCACGTTTCATTCTTCAACTGGTGTGCGAAGAGCAGCTGCACAATGGAGGTTTCGTCTTCTAGCCATATACTGCGCTTTCAACTCGATGAAGCTACTTTTCACAAAGACCAGTTGGTAAAACATGGAAATGTCTGATGTGTTTTACCCTTTGTTCCTATTTTACTCCCATTGATTTATAATATCTTTTCAAAGTGGCCGGTCTGCTGCGCTTTTAACTAGCTATATTTTACACTTAAATTACATGTTATCTATTTGATTGATTTGACCTTGCTCATTTAAATCCCCCGAGGGTAATTCTATGCTTCAGACATTGAATTGTATGCATTACACCACACAGAGATCCAAAACACATACATTGCAGGCAAGGAAGGATGTTGGAGTAATGTCAGCCACAAACAACCTCCCCAGACTGAAGGATGTTGCAGGCAGCAGAATATCTCCAGAACCTCCTCTTTTAACCATATCTGTGAAGAAAATAGGGTGCCAGTTGCCCATCCATCCATCCATTTTCTGAACCATTTTATCCTCGCACGGGATGCGGGGCATGCTGGAGGCTATCTCAGCTATCTTCGGACACTAGGCAGGGGACACCCTGAACCGGTTGCCAGCCAAGCGCAGGGCACACAGAGACGAACAACCATCCGCGAAGGAACAATTTCGAGTGTCCAATCAGCCTGCCATGCATGTTTTTGGAATGTGGGAGGAAACCGGAGTACCCGGAGAAAACCCACGCGGGAAAGGGGAGAACATACAAACTCCACCCAGGAATGCCAGAGCCGGGATCGAACCCGGTACCTCTGTACTGCGAGGTCGCTAATCACTAACCATGCAAGGGCCACCTCGTGCCAATTGTGAAACTGATAATTCAGGTGTTTTTGGTCAAATTCCAAAAGCTGACTGAGACATGGACCCACTTTGGGATACCCAGCCTGAAGTGCCGCCCTCAGGGAGTCTGTTTTTGACAGTTTGACAGCATAAAAAAACAAGCAGGTCATTCTCTGACAGTGCTCAACCTCTTCCACCCTTTACAAAGGAGCAGATATTGACCCTGTGGTCTGCTTGACCTCTCTTGTTGTTCTGGCCTGTCTCCTGGTATCTCTTCCTTGCTCTTGACACAGAGCTGCCAGATAGTAACACTACTGACCCAAAATTACCTGTATATGAATATGCCATCGTGAAAAAGCCTGAGTAAAGTCTGTGTTCCATTTTCTGTCCTCAGTGGTCCACTGTGTGGCCCCTACATCTGTTGTGTTTTGTTACCTTTCCCTTAATTCAGTATGGGCTGGGCATCTCCCCAATCACTGCAGCTGTCTCACCTACACACTTGCCAATCTTCACCTTGTCAACCGCACTCACCCCTTGCAGCATAAAGGCCACTCTGAAGAGTCACCCGTTGCCAGTTTGTCAGCTATCTTCCGTGCTGTACTCGCTGCTGCCCAGCTGTTTACGTTCAAGCCTTCATGTACGCCTCGATTTGGCTTCTCTGACTGCCTTTGCTTCCCGCCTCCTCGACCTGTCCCTCTCGCTGACAAGAAACCGGTTCTGAGTTCATCGTATCTTCCTGTGGGTCCTGCGCTCATCTCAAACTAAGCCGAACAGTGTTCCATGGATGCCACCTCGTAATGCCGCTATAATGGTGTGGGCACAGGAAAAATGCTAAACGAATCAGAGATCATAAAAAGCAGAAACAATGTGGAGAGGAAATGGTCAATGGCCACTCTATTTCCTTAATATGACTTGCCTTACTAATAATTGCCTTTCATTTCTTTTCCATATTAGCAAGTGAAATTGGTTCACCTTTGTTTTGCTGTTCATTCAGTGCATTTTTGTGGCATGCCTCATTTCATAGTATAAACAAACAGCGAAGGAATAATCACACACACACACACACACACACACACACACACACACACACACACACACACACACACACACACACACACACACACAAGCAATTTTAACC